GATTGCAGGCTGTGTCACATTAGGGCCATCGGTGCCAGATGATGAATATTTTCAAGTAAGGTTTACATTAGATGTGATCAAACCAAGTCTGTGTCAGAGTGACCCGTGGCTGCCAAGGGGGCACACCCCCAGCAATGGCACCTGTCACCATCCACATCTCACAGCCACCTGTGGTGGGGGTGGGGGTCACTTCAGATTCCCGGGTGGGGTGCTTCCGGAGAGAACCCCACTTCCATGTGGGCCACTTTGAGAATCTGGTCTGTGGCCAGCAGCTCTGCAGGCCTGGGCTTTCCCAAGCAAGGTCCTCCCAGAGATTGCTTCCCACGCCGTTGGGAGCATCTCTGGATAGACACTGCCCCCTCGAGGCCTCTGCTGCCATGACACCCGGGATGGCTGATCCTGCATTAGAGGAAATGGATCCAGATGCTGCTCTCCTTCCCAGCGTCCTCCTTGCGTCCCTTACCATTGGCCCAAAATACAAACATCTTCAGAGCTCTGGGCAGTGTATCCATTCTCATCCTGAGACCCTGGAATGGGCCTTAGTGCCATCTGTTGCCTTCCAGAAGAAAGGCAACTCAGGGCAACTGCCAGAACATAAATACAGAGCCACAGGAAGTCTCGGGACTCCGGGCTATCTGTATTTTTTCTTTCTTAATGTTTGTTTATTTACTTTTGAGAGACAGAGCATGAGGAGGGGAGAGACAGAGAGAGAGAGACACACACAGAATCCGAAGCAGGCTCCAGGCTCTCGGCTGTCAGCACAGAGCCTGACACAGAGCTTGAACCCATAAACCATGAGATCATGACCTGAGCATGACTTAACCCACTGAGCCACCCAGGCGCCCCAGGCTATCTGTATTTTTAAAGAGGCAAGGGTCCAGGGGGGGGAAAACAACTTCTAGTAACATTTGGAATTAAGGTCGAGGAGAAGTTTAACATTAAAGCAAAATAACTAGGGCAGAGTTAAGGGAAAAGGGGAAGAATAAAGCAAAGCAAAGAAAGGATCAGTTACAGGAAGGTCAGGATGAACTGGCTGGACTGCAAACTGACAGAGTCAGCTGCGGAGCTGTGGGGACGATCAGGTCACGGCAGCTGCACAGCCTGTTGCAAGAAAAGAACCACTAAGGATCCTCCCATCTTGAATAAGTATTGATATTATTTTGATGCATTCTCTATTATTTTTTCCTGTGTTTTCTTTGAATGTCTTCATTGGAGTTCATGTCTTTACTGAATTTTAATTAATTGTTAAAGTTTATTTGAGAGCAAGAGCATGTGTGTGTGTGTGTGTGTGTGTGTGTGTGTGTGTGTGTGTGTAGGAGGGGCCAAGAGGGAGAGAGAGAATCCCAAACAGGCTGTGTGCTGTCAGCACAGAGCCTGACATGGGGCTTGATCCCATGAACGGTGAGATTATGACCTGAGCTGAGATCAAGAGTTGGATGCTTAACTGATTGAGCCACCTAGGTGCCCCTGGATTTTTTTTTAATCATAAGAGTTAAATCATAAAACGTGATCTGCAGAAAATAAAAACTGTGTCCATTTCCCTGCCAAAAAAGATCAGCCCCAAACGCAGAGTTGGGTGATGACTATGTCTGGGGCAGGCTCCCATCTACACCAAGAGTCCAAGTGCACAGTCAGTTAATTGTCTCTAATCGTTGTCCACGCAGACAGAGTCCCCCAGTGCCGTCCCGGGCCCTCTAAGATCTCAGCCTTGGGGGCCTTTGCCAATGCCGTTTCCCCTCCTGGAATCCTCACCCATATTCTCGTCTGGCTGACCCTCAGTACAGGCATTGGTGACTCTTCCCAGGGACATCTCTCCAGTGTCCCAAACTGGTCTGGTGCTACTCACATGTGCTCCTGTAACCCACTACAGCCATGTACCAAACTGTACCGTCATCATTTTTTAGACCCCTGACTTCCTGCTGCCGGTAGGGGTGGGGGGAGGCACTGTGTGGCAAAGACCCAGAGGCCATGGGTCCTGGGCTCCTGGCACTGGATGAGCCAGCTGTCCAGGTGGAGAAAAAGGGGTGAGGTGTGGGGTGGGAACCTCCAGGAGGGGGCCACTCCTCCTGGGGCTCCCCCCACCCCGAGCCTGGCTGCTTACCCCTCCTACTCTTCCTCCTCCCCTGGAAGATGATGGGGCCCAGGAAGCTGAAAGGGAAAGGTCAGGTGACAGCTGGGTGGGATCTCAGACACGTGGAGGCTCAGAAGCCTGTCCCAGCCTGGGACCCATCTCCAGTGAGATCACCGGCTCTCCCTCAGGACCTCAGGGTTTGGGATCAGGGCCACATTCAATCCGGCAAATACCGAGTATGTGTGAGGTGCAGGCAGGAAAGGTGCAGTCTAGTTTTTTTTTTTTAATGTTTATTTACTATTTTGAGGGAGAGAGAGCAAGCAAGCAGGGGAGGGGCAGAGAGAGAGGGAGACAGATTCCGAAGCAGGCTCCAAGCTCCGAGCTGTCAGCACAGAGCCCGATGTGGGGCTTGAGCCCACAAACCATTAGATCATGGTCTGAGCTGAAGTCGGACACTTCACCAACTGAGCCACCCAGGCGCCCCAAGATGAATCTGAGGACAGTCTTGTCATCAGAGGGTGCCCTGCCCCACAAGGCATCATGGTGTGGTCCAGGTTAGACAAAGCCTGGGGGGGGGGGGTCCGGAGCAAGACAGACCTGGGCTCTTGTCCAGGCGTGGCCACTGTCTGACTTTGACAAGTTGCCTCCACTCTCTGAGCCTCAGTTTCCTCACCTGCCAAATGGGGATGATAATAGAACCTATCCCATCAGGTGGTTGTGAAAACCTGTTGACATTATGATGTGAAAGCATAGGAAATGACAAGAAACACCCAAAAATGAGGATGCACTTGGGCTTTCATGATCATTAACAGGGGCATAGAGATGCAAACAAGCGTTTGGGCTCTAGAACGGGCTGGGACGTGGCGGGTGAGGTTCAGGCCAGCCACTGAGGAGCGTGTGCAGCTGTTCCCCGAGCCCTGGAAGAATGCTTTAGAGCCAGACACTTGTGGCTCAGAAGGCAGCTTGTCTCGGCCTGTCTCCACCGCTCACTCCCGTTTCCCAGTCCCCATCTCCCTTAGCGGGTTAGGGCCACGTGGCTAGTTCTGAACAACTGTCTGTGAGCAGGAGTGATGGCTGCTGATGCGGAGAGGAGTCAATTCAGAGCTGTTGTGTCTTCTCCTCTCCTCTTCTCCCTGCTGCGGATTCCGGTGGAGAAGTCCTAAGATGCAGGGGGGCCGCCAGACTCTCATCAGACTTGATGAAGTAAACCCTTCCTGTGCTCGGCCATGGAGACCTGGTGGTCGTTTGATGAGGCAACTTGTGCAAACTGACGCTCTGCATACAGCACTATAATTTCTGCTTCTAGAGGCCACGTCAGTGGCCTGTGGCCACACAGCTCATAAGTGGACAGAGCTGGAACCCCCACCCAGGCCTGATTCACCGGGCGGGTTTTTCGAAACCATACTTCCCTGGGGCGCCTGGGTGGCTCCGTCAGATTTCGACTCAGGTCACAATCTTGCAGTTCGTGAGTTTGAGCCCCACATCGAGCTCTGTGCTGACAGCTTGGAGCCTGGAGCCTGCTTCAGATTTGTGTCTCCCTCTCTCTCCGCCCCTTCCCCGCTCATGCTCTCTCTCTCTCTCCCCGTCTCAAAAAGAAACATTAAAAAAAAAGTCTTAAAGAAACCACACTTCCCCCACCTCATGACAGCCTGTTCTCAAGTGCTGCTATCACATCTAAGATCTCAAGATGTCCTGCAGGGACAGCAGGATGAGCAGCTGGAACAGTCAGGACATTTGGCAAGTTCAGTGTCAAATCCTGTCATTCTGGATGGTACTGAGCACTTGAAACACTAGTTCTACTTCTGCCAGTGCTGGTGCTTCAGGATAAGCAACCCACAAGCAACACATGACAGCCCGCCCTGGCCTGGCGGACTGTAGCTGGAGACTGGATCGCTCATCGTGTAGACGGACTCACAAGGGAAGAATTCCTCCAGCGTCCCTGTTTCACCCGCAGCCCTTACCGGCTTGTGCCCCAGCCCAGAGAGGCAACACTGCAAACCGCGAGCTTCAGGATTAGACTTGTGCTCAAATCCCTGCTCTGCCGCTTACTGGCTGTGTGACCTTAGGTAAGTCAGTCACTTTGCTTCTCTGAGCCTCAATTTCCTCATCTGTAAAATGGGGGTAGCAATACTAAATCCTCATAGCATGGACTCCCCACATGAGAGATGATGGATGAAAGGCTCAGCATAGTGCCTGGTACGTGTAAGCTTATTTCCAATTTTTTTCTTTAATGCTTATTTATTTTTGAGAGAGAGTAGGAGAGGGGCAGAGAGAGGGACAGAGGATCCAAAGCAGGCTCTATGCTCACAGCAGAGAGCCCAATGCAGGGCTCAAACTCACGAACCATGAGATTAGGACCTGTGCCGAAGTTAAGACACTTAACAGACTGAGCCACCCAGGAGCCCCACAATTTTTTTTAATTAAAAAAAAATTTTTTTTCCCTTTAATCTTTATTTTTGAGAGAGACAGAAAGAGGGGAAGGGACAGGGAGAGAGGGAGACAGAATCTGAAGCAGGCTCGAGGCCTGAGCTGTCAGCACAGAGCCCGATGCGGGCCTCAAACCCACAGACCCTGAAACCATGACCTGAGCCAAAGTCCGGCGCTGAACCGACTAGGCCAATCAGGCACGCCAATTTTTTTTTTTTTTTAATTTGAGAGAGAGAGAGAGAGAGAGAGGGAGAGGGGGAGAGAGAAAGAGAGAGAGAGAGAGAGAGAGAATATCTCAAGCAGGCTCCATGCTCAGCATGGATCCTGACACAGGGCTCGACCTCACAGTCACGAGATCATGACCTGAGCCAAAATCAAGAGTCAACTGGATGGTTGACTGACTGAGCCACCCAGACACCCCATGTAAGCTTGTTATAATCCAAGGCAGGCTGTCTTTCTCCCAGGGAAGATCAGGGGGCTACCAGAGGAGAGGGACTCAGTGTAAAGATTTATACCAAGATTGCTTGTATGTTTATTTACAAACAGGAGACACACACACACACACACACACACACATATATCACTGGACATTTCAGGAAACAGCCCTTCTCTGTCCGCCTCTTCTCTGGGCTCCCTCCTCACTCAGCTTGAGCTCTCTAGAAAAGGGCTTCTGACACTTTCTTGGTGGGAAGTGAGTGGGTATTCTGATTGGGCTCTCACTGCCTCTCATGTCCAAATCTGCCTGTCCCCTTGGGCCATGGACAAGGGGCTGTTAGCCTTGGCTCAGTCATTCATGTCCAAGCCAAATTCTGGATACAACTCTTTGGTGGTGACGCCTCGGATCACGGCTGAAAGGAAAGGAGAAAGAAAGGATGTGTCTGGCCGGAGGCGTAGGAAGGAGAATGACCCAAGGCCTGAGCTACCCAGGACCCACTCCTACACCGCCTTCCTTCTCCACCTGCCCGGGATACCCTCCTGCTACTCCTTCTAGACTCCTCCACTGTGGGCCCTGCTTGGCCACTCTAAACTAGACCCACTGAACCCTCACCCTGCTTTGCAGAGGTGTCAAGCAAAGCTCCCCGAGGCTGCACGCCGAGCACTGGCGCCATCTGTGGGAAATGTAACTTCGTATTTACATTGCACGTGGGGCCCGCTGAAAACCCTCACTCCTCAGCCCGCTCCCCCCCGCCCCCCCCCACCCCGGGCCCCGGCCTGGCCGTCTGGTGATGCCATGCTTCCTGCTCCCTCAAAGACTCTTTTTTTCTCCCAGGGAAAAGGGTGTCCTCAGGGGGCCTCCCCGACCGCCTTAGCTCTTCCCTACCCGCCACCCTGTTCATGTCTCCATGTTCCCCAGCTCTGGCCCTCGTTTCCTTCATAGCACTTCACACATTTTAGAATTCCTTTCTTCGTGCTCCTTTGCTTACTGCCTGTTCCCCTCCCCCACCTCCACCCCCAAACCAGAAGTCACTCGAGAACAGGGAGCTTCAAGGGTCTGGTTCACGAGGGTGCCCCCCCACCCTGCAGAGCAGCACAGAGTAGGTGCTCAGTAAATACCACCTGAACCGATGAAAGAAGGCGGGCTGCCCGCTCCAGGCCCTGTGACCAGACAGACTGAGCTCAAGCCGGGTTCTACCTCCCATGAGTGTCTGCCCTTAACCACCAGCCTGTAGTCCCCTCACCCTCATTTCTTCTTGGGGCCTGATCCTCCTCCTTTCTCCATCCATCCATATTTGCCTCCTCCTACTGTCTCCTTTCCTTCCTTGGGACCCATTCCCCACTGGAACAGAGGCGCCCTCTCTGACGGACTCCTGGGTGCTGAAAGATAGCTCTGCAGTCCCCTGTAGCGACCAGGGGGACAGCCCAGCGCTGCACACTGTCCCAAACAGTCACTGGCTGCTGAACATGGGAGTGCCCACCGACCAGAGCCAGGTGACAGAAGCTGGCCTCCAAGGTGGACTGTCCTAACCGGCCAGGACACAGGTGTCTACGCCTTGGCCGAGCCCTCCGGATAGTCGGACTGTGTTCAGGGAAGAACAAAATACTCCTTTAAGCCACAGAGTCGTCGCCCTTCTGGGACTTTCTGCCTCCGTAATAAGTCAGCCACTTGAGGCGAGGACGGTGTTTCAGTCACTGAGTAGGCCCCAGAAGACTAGGAACCGTAGCCCTCAATCTAGCAGGTAGGTGAGTTCATGCTCAAACCTGTCTCTGGCTCTGAAGGAGGCCCTAAACTTGAAGGAAAGTACCTCAGGGGCGCCTGAAAGAGCTGTCCAGCTGCTCTGGGGCATTTGGGGAGCAGGGCAGCTGAGAAGGCTGGGAGAGCTGGAAAATCAGGGGGCCCAGGAGCAAAATCCCAGCACCCTGAGGAGTGGGGGCCCCTTCCCTCTGAGCCCTGGCTATTCCTCGGGGGCCCTGGCACCCACCTAGCTTGCCTAGCAGCATCTGGCCTGCATCCTTGATGTCATTATACTCATGGAGCTGGCAGATGTGGTCCTCCAGTTCAGCCACACTGTAGCCTCTGGGATGTGGGATGGGAGAGAAAGATAGAACATCTTTAAGAAAGCTGAAGACGACGCGAGGCTCGGAGAGTAACAAGGCATCTATTTACCCAACGTTCACTAAGGAGCTACTAGGGACACAGGGTTGGCCCTCAGGAAACTTACGGTAGGGCGGGGATCTGCCCAGCCCCTCACTCCTGGCAAAAGTCTCTGTGCCCTTAGGGGGCGGTTCCCAGCCACACTGGTACTATGTGACCCTGGCCACAGCCGAGGGATTCACAGATCAGCACGTGAGTGGCTAGTCAAATCCCCTCACGTCTGAAGGCACATTCAAAGGCTGCTCAGTCCAGGCCACGCAGCTGGAGCATGAGGACATGGGAAAATCTAGGAGCTGCCAAAGAGCCAGCTTTCCCCAGGCTCTGAGAGCCCTACCTGCAGAGAGACAGAACGGAGTCTGTGTGCAGATGGGAGCAGAGGCAGAGAACCAGGGCCCGTGGGGAGACCCGGAGAGGGATAACCTGTTCTAGACAGCTTTCCGCGTCCTGGTTCCCGCTCCTCCTGGGTCTGACCACACCCCTACCCGAGAGAGGCTGCTGAGACACCCTGAATCCAAAGCAGGGCGTGGGACACGGTCCTGGTGCTGCGCTCAGCTAGTGCGGCTGGGTTTCAGTTACTGGGCACTGGTTAAAAGTTCTCTGAAGCGCGCTGAGGGGCCCAGCGAGACTTACTCAGAGATAAACTGGGAGATCTCCTTGTCCAGCAGGTCGCTCTTCTCCTTCAGTTTCTGAATGTCAAGGTGCAGAGAATCCTTGCCGGCTCCATCAGCCTGGCCAGACTTGGGAGATGGCCGCTGAGTGGCACAGAAAGTCATTAGCCAGGGGCACCTGGGTGGCTCAGTCGGTTGAGCATCCGACTTTGGCTCAGGTCACGATCTCATGGGTTCCTGAGTTCGAGCCCCGTGTCGGGCTTGCTGCTGTCAGCATGTAGCCTGTTTTGGATCCTATTCCCCTTTCTCTCTGCCCCTCCCCCCCCTCAGAAATAAAACATTAAAAAAAGTCATTAGCCAGACTGACCCATTATCCACAATTCAGAACCTACAAATCATCCCCAACAGCCACCTCCTGCTTCTGCTTGGTGACTGACTCCCTTTTAATAAGATTACATTTCGCAGCTTCCCTTGGAATGAGATGTGGCCCCTGTAAGTTCTGGTGAGTAGAAATTAATCAGAAATGGTGTATGCAACATCTGGAAATAGTCCTTCCAGGAAGAGGGTCTCCCTTTCTTTGGCATTCTTCCTTCCCGCTGGCTGGCGTGTAAACGTAATAAAACAGCTGATCAGTATCTTGGGGGATGAGATGGAACCCACGTTGAAGATGTGGGAGAACAAGATAGAGGCCTGGGTCACCGAGGACGGGTTAGGCCACCATTATTTGGGGTTTTCTTTCACTCCCAGCCAGACCTAATCCTAACCAACGGGCTCACCCTGGCCCCTAATCTGACCCCAGCTAATCGGCTTCAAGTCTATTTCTTGGATTCTCCTCCCAAATCTATGATGTCGCTGGGCTTATAATCTCCTTGGATAACAACCCTTCCCTGGGGCTGCAGACTTTCTGTCTCTAAATTCTGTGAAGGCCGGTGCCTGGGACACCGCTAATCTTCAGGAAATGTGTGTTGGATCAACTGTTTGCACAAGATAGAAGAGACCAAGGAAGGGATTCAGCAACGGATAAGACATCAAGCCTGGCCCCCGTCTTCACAGAATGTATATAAAACAGCCAGGTTGTGTTTTCCCTCCAGATATCTCCATCGAAAGCTCCACACTCACTTCACTAGAAAGGCCTTGCCTGACCACCCCGCCTAAAATGGTCACTTCTCGGTGGCCCACTTTTCCTTTGTCCTGATACTTTATAACATCGGTCACCACCTGACATAGACATTTCATTAATAACCTTTTGTTCCTTGTCGGCCTTCCACCCCTTGAGTGTAAACTGCACAAGTACAGGGACTGTTTTGTCCACTGGGTCCCCAATAGTGCCGGGCACATGACAGGCACTCGATAAAATGTGTCAAATGAATGAGTGAATGACAATAAATCAACAAACAACAAGCCTGAAAAGTGCTTTGAACTTGAAGTATAGTGTGCTAAGGGAGTGCCTCGCTGAGACGCTGAACTGAGCCAGAAGTTGGGGCGAGGCTCCTCTTAGGGACCTCAACTCTAAAGGATGAGCAGGCATCAGCCTGGCAAAAAGCCGGAAGGAGAGCATTCCAGAAGGGGAGCGTACACCTAAATGGCAAAGGCAGGAGAGAACACATGTGGCTGAGGGAGTGAGAATGGTTTCTGTGTGGGGTGGGTCGTGGTGTGAAAAGGAACAAACCAACCACTTGCGCTGCTGTCAGGGAGGAGGAGAGACAGAGCCCCCTTGGAGAACCTGGGCTACCACGGGCAAAGACCAGGGCGCTGCTGCTTCCTTGAAGCGTGGTGGGCGGGAGGAAAAGAAGGGGAAGGGCTGAGAAAAGATCTGGAGTTTCTCAGTAGAACAAGGTCGGCCGGGGGGAGGGGGACGGGCCCAAGCGTACTCACAGGGGATTGGAAGGCCCCGCGGCAACTTTTGGAAAGTCCTGGTTGAGTCCTGGAGAAGAATCCGAGGGAAAAAGACTGATTGAACCTAGAGTCCGCGCTGGGAGGAAAGGGGTATGTGGGGGTGGGGTGGGTGGTGGGTGGGAGGTAAGGAGTTGGGAAGGGGCCACACAGGGTCCGGGATCAGGGTAGGGAGCCTCAAGGGAGGGGGATTCTGAGAGGGGGAGTGTGGAGGGCTGGATGCGGGTCTCTGGAAGTGATCTCGGAGACGAGAGTTGGGCAGGGCTAAGAGGAGTCAGGAAAGGGACTGTGAAGAGATCCGCTTTCGCCCTGCTGTCCGCTCCTCGCCCACCTTCTGAGCCCTGGGGTCCGGGGCCCCCGTCTCGGGGGCGTCTGCAGCGCAGGAGGGTCCAGGACGGTGGCGGGAGAGCAGACTCCCGGGGCAGCCAGGTAACCGGAAGCTTATGACGGAGACCGGCAACCGTCCGGAAGCGAGCTGCGCACGCATCCTGTGTGAGCCCAGGTCCCACCCCCCTCCCCCTAGGTGGGCGGAGACCGCGGCTGCGTGCGCAGCTTCCCTTGTGACTCCACCTGTTCCTTTGGGCTCGCGGTGTTCTAACCCCTCCCCCTTTCCCTGTCATCTTTCTTATCCACCAATAGGCTTAGAGAATTGAAGCCGTGCCCACCCAGCTGTAGCCTAGAAACGCCCCTGTCCCTCCCTTTCTGGCTCAGTTGCAATCCGGCGCGGTGACTACCGGGAGCAATTCCGCGGTGGTTGCCGGGATCGCGATGATGTGGCCCCCCCGTTCCCCTCCCTGTCCCGGGATGTCGGAAGAAACCCGACAGAGCAAATTGGCTGCGGCCAAGAAAAAGGTAAAACGTGCCGAGTCGCGGCTCCCTGACCCAGCCAAAGGCACCTTTGACGGCCGGGCGGTGGCCAGAGTCTGTGCTGCCCCTTAGGCACACAGGGAGAGCCCCTCGGCGCCCCTTGGCGCCCCCCCCCCCACCCAAAGTCTTCTCAGCCAGTCCCGCCCCCTGGCAGCCCAGCCCCCGCCCTCTCCCGTCGCCCCTGGGTGACTTTGGGCCGTGACTCCCTGGGCTCACAGCTCCGGGCTCGGCCCTCGCCTTCTGCCGCCCAGAACCAGACGACCCGGGCTCCCCGGGCCGAGTCCACTCTCCAAGGACCTGGGTCCCGGCCCTGCTCTCCCCTCCCCCAGCGCGGAGCCGCGGGCGTCGGTAGGGAGGAGTGGAATGTAGTTACGTCACAATCCCCCTCGGAACTGTCATTAGCGCCCGGTGTTTGATCTTAACTACCCCGTCTCCCTGTTTTCATCCCCTTTCCAGTGTCTCTGGTCATGGCACAGATTTCCAGCTTGAAGGGAACTGGGGACTGTAGGACTCAGGTGGGAGAGGTTTCAGGCTCCCTTACTCTAGACTGTACCCCATCCTTAGACATTGACTTCACCAGTGATCCAGACATGTTGATAACACCTTGGTAACAATGGAGAAAATGTATTTCCTTTAGTTTAGTATCTTCCTAGCTTTCTACTGTCCAGAAAGACTTTTGACATTTTTAATCTGAATTCTCTGCCTCACATTTTAATTCCCTATGATTCTGGAACCAGGGTGCCTCATAATCAGTGCTCTTTGGGGTGCGATCCGCTTACCCTCTGCCGACCAGATCTCTGTTAACACAGCTGGGAATCTTCCCCAAATCATCATTTGAGCATGTAGCGTCCTGAATGCCACCAGATAAACATGGGACCAAAGCATCCGTTTTGCTTGACTGCTCTTGAGAAAAATCCTTTTAGGTTCATATACCTCGGGATGACATTTGCATAGATTTGTAAGATTACAATAGACTGCTCTCTGACATGGTGCTTGGGTTGCCCCTTGTTCTGTTACGTTCCCAGATTCACCAGGCGCGTGCCTTTGCCGCTTTCTGCCATCAGGATATGTTGATGTAAAAGTTTGAGAAATACCAGTGTGAAGCTTTGACAGATGTGTAGGCAAGGACTCTGATGTCTGATTATGCAGATATTTACTCTTCCACCTCTTTGCCTCTGGGTTTGCCTCTTAGCACCTGCTGATTTCATGGTATAACCCTAGAACTCGGAAGCAGAAGACTGGGTTTAAATTCCATTATTACCTCCCCCCCACCTTTTTTTAAGCCATGTTGTCAGTCTATTTCTGCAGTCATTAAGGATTACAACACCTTGTAGGCTTGCTGGTGGCATTAAATCAAGTGGCGGATAGAGGCATATATCGGAAACTACAAAGTTTGACGTGAATACGGGAGTTTGCGGTTCTCACGAATCCTATTGCTTTTCCTTGTTTGCAGTTGAGAGAATATCAGCAGAGGAACAGCCCGGGTGTTCCTGCAGGAGCGAAGAAGAAAAGGAAGATTAAAAATGGCAGTAGCCCTGAGACAGCCACTTCTGATGGTTGTCACTCTCCTGAGGATGTGAGTACTGGCTGGCCAGACTTCCGGGGACACGGTTATGTGAGGGATCGTAAAGGCAGTGATGCAGGGTGTGGAGGAAGTGTCAGGTGTGGGAGATATGTCCCTGCTGGGGATCTCTTCCCACATCAGTAAAAATTTGACTTAGACTTGTGACCCGGAAATGAGATGGTTGATGATGTTTTTATATGAGTCCCTTAGTATAGGGCCTTGTGCAGGGTAACCATTCAGTCCAGGGTGGTGCTGTTTGACTTGCGGATCGGGTGACTTTCCACATCCCCAGCCTCAAGGAGAAGCCAGGCGGTGGGAATAGCCGTTTGCCACCACACTCTTCCTTTAGGAAGCACCAAAAGAGGCCCAGGGTGTGGTGGGGCAGGAGACGGTGGGTTTTGAGTCCATCTTTGCCCCCTGTTGGCTGGGCGAGCTCAGGAAAATCAATGCCTCCCCTGGGCCTCCGTTGCCTCCTCTGTAAGATGATATTGCTGGAGCAGGTCGGTGTCTTTCAGACTTTTAGCTGGAGCCCCCTTTGTTCAAGTGAACCCTTCCCTCGGAAGTCTGGTTTTTAAAACAGACGAGAGTCTTGTGAGAGTCCTCCCCTGCACCCTGGGCCTGAGGAGAGGCTCTAGCGAATGTATTCAGAAAACAGCTGCATCGGGCAGGTGACTGCATCCTATGTCACTGCGTCTTTCAGGGGACTTTTCTCTCTGTGCACGTTGATTTCTGCAAGGCGCCAGGTGGCTGTCAGGGAAGGCGGCACAGGCCGTGGATTTGTTCCTGTCTCTCTTCTCCAGCATTCCATTTTCCTGAAGCCATCTCTTCATCCTTCCCTGACTCTCTCTCCTCTCTCTAAGCCACTTTTCTCTCTCTCCCCCTGCCCTTGTCTCTCCCTTTTCGCCTCCTGTAGATTCAGGACATTCTGAAGGTGCTGGTGTCCGACCTTAACCGCTCCAATGGGGTAGCGCTCCCCCCATTGGACAAGTGGAAGGTGAGGCAGTGCCGAGCCCCCTCTCTGGCTTGCTCTTTCCCAGCTGTGCATGCCCCAAGGCTTCTCTGGTTTGGGGGATACTTCGCCTCTGGCTTATTTTATGTTGCTGTCATTAACCCTCAGCTGTTCATGTCTGCTTTTTCACCTGCTTGGCTGATTGGGTTTGTTCTCCTTCTCCCACGTCCCTTATCATCTTGGAGAAGGTGAGACACACCTTGTGGGCTCAGAGGAGCCGCTAAGGGGCATGGGAAAGGGAGTACAGGCCCCGAGGAGTCCGGCAGCTTGTACTGAGTTCTACGATTCCATGTCCACACCCTGGTGTTGTCCTGGAAACGAAGACCCAGATCCTTCTTGTCTTGTGACTATTATTATTTTAATGTTTATTTATTTTTGAGAGTGAGATAGAGTGTGAGCAGGGGAGGGGCAGAGAGAAGGAGACACAGCATCCGAAGCAGGTTCCAGGCTCCGAGTTGTCAGCACAGAGCCCGACACCGCGGTCGAACCCACGAGCCGTGAGATCATGACCTGAGCTGAAGCTTAGCTGACTGAGTCACCCAGGCACCCCTTCTTGTCACTTTTTAAATCCTCTCTGTCTCAGTAACCGTTGCCCATTTCAGTTTTCTGCTGCCGCAATGCAGGCTGGCGGTTGCAGGGTCTTGGACAGAGCTGATGGCATTTCCAGAAATGGGGAATCCTGGAGAAACAAATTTCAGTGGGACATGTGGGGAAGTGGACAGTGTTTTTAAATATCCCAGACTTTAGCTACAGGGCCTAACAGTGTAAAATAATTTGGTTGTTCACAAAATTGTCGTGTTATATATATTTAAGTTCTCAGAAAATTACTTTTGTCTTTTCCTAAACTTTCTTGTGCTTAGTGCTAGGGATCGATGGGAACCCAAGACCTGGGAGGTGTCCAGAGCTTGCCAGGGCCCATGGCTACAAGTGCCCACCTCCCCCAGAGTCTCACGCCTGGCCGGCCACTGAGCCTCTGGTCTTACCTATTAGATTCTGTTGAATGGGGGGCGCCCGGGTGGCTTAGTCGGTTAAGCGTCCGACTTTCGCGCAGGTCATGATCTCGCGGTTCGTGGGTTCGAGCCCCGCGTCAGGCTCTGTGCTGACTGCCAGCTCAGAGCCTGGAGCCTGTTTCAGAGTCTGTGACTCCCTCTCTCTCTGACCCTCCCCTGCTCATGCTGTCTCTCTCTCTCTCTCTCTCCCCCCTAGAAATAAATAAAACATTAAAAAAAAAAATTTTTAGATTCTGTTGAACGGGTTGGCACTGCAGCTCCTAGTTCTGGGGTCAAAGGTCAGCATGGACAGTAAACATACAAATGGCTTGATTCATCCTTAGCTCCCTAGGTTCTGCAGCACTTGCTCTACAGAGGGAGGTAGAGCTGGGTTTTCAGAGGCCAGGGCTGATGGGTCCAGAGAGCAGCTAGCCCTGGGCCCTGAGAGCGGTCTGGCCTCCTCCTCCTCCTGGCCCCAGCCTCACTGGCCAGGCCTTGGCTCCCTAGTCCTCTCCCCTCATCAAACTTGAGTTTGTCAACCATCTTCCCCATCTCTTTGCTCCTCTGGCCTGCCAGCCATTAGATCTCTAGGGCTGGACACTTGGACTAAGTGTCAGGCCTGAGCCTGGAAAGAGGCTGGGTGGGGCTCTGGTCAAGCAAGTAGGTCCAGGTAGGGAAGAGGAAGTGGTTTCTCCATGGCTCCTTGTCCCCAATCCCAAGATCGTTCTCCAGGATGTCACGAATCAGAGGGTAGACATCTTACCTCTGGTTTCTCAGGTTGAGTCTTGGTTTTAGAACCAGCAGGTTGAGGTGGGGGTAGTGGCCATGTTTTTCTTTCTATGGGTAGGTGTAGGTGAGGCTTCTAGCTGGGCAGCTGCTTTCCCAGAGAAGGCCTGAATAGGTCAAGTACAGCCAGTGGTTGGCGGGGGAGCAGGGGGCAGAGGAAAAGAGGGGAAGGAGGCGGACGGTGGTGTTGACCATGCCTCCGTCACCAGCACCCTCTTGGCCAGCAGGGGTGCAGGGTGAAGGTCACTCTGGCATTCCAGAAGAACCGTGCC